ATCAACCAGTTCTGCCAATGTCACTGCAGCTGGGCGGCTGGGCGGCTGTTTCTGGCTATTCCTGGCTGCTGCACCGAAACCCAGACAAAACCCAGACTGGGACAACGACTCCACCCGACCCGATCCGATTCGATCCGATTCGATCCGATTCGGTCCTATCCGATCCACCACGAAGCAAAGCAATGCCAAGCACAGTTTTAAATTTAATTTAAATGGGCTTATAATTTATTTGATGCCTGCTCCGATCGGAGGGACCGGACCACACAGCACTACTGACACCAGAGCCCGCTCATATCGCATTGAGAGTATAACAAATTATCTCGTGGCCAATTTAAAATGTTTAATTCAACATAAAAATCGGACAGCAGAGTGGGAAGACTCCACTAAAGAGTCACACATTATGTGGGGAACACAGAGGAACAGAAACAGAAACAGAAACTAAATCCAAATGAGACACGAAACGCGATAAATTTGTACAATAAAAAACAAAACTGATTTCCGTCTAATGCGATTGACACCTAAAACACACACAAATCGTGGAGAATAAGGGGGAAACCCTCCTCGTACTTCTGCGTCTATTTCTACCATCTTTGTTTCGCTTCATTCCCAATTCCAATTCCTGTGAAGTCAAGCAAACAAAGCGAAAGACTCAAAGACCAACAGAAACAAACAACCGAAATAAACTGAAATACAAGATACATAAATAATGTTATTAACATAGACACACCACACTTCTGGCACTGTCTGTGACTCCGACCCGACTCCGACTCCGACTCTGACTGGGAGTCTCACTGGGGGCCGTGGCGGGTCAGGTTGATTAGCTCATCACTTGGACCACTAAAAAAGACACTTCTGGCTGACACTGATTGGTCGCTGTGTGGACCACAACTTGACTACGAGTGAGAAGATTATATTCGCGGCTATCGACTGCTTTGATACCCGTAAATTGTATTACTTTGTTTCCATTTGATGCCAAAACAAGCTACTGTCCAACCTGAAATACGAGTATGCCCCCAAAATCGATAAGTGCTGGGTATGCGAGACGAGAAATAAACGAATTCTTATGGGCCTCTGTAGAGTGGGATGACTCGGACTGTCTGTTGAGAGACAGACTGTCATTATTTATGGAATTAATATGTCTAAGCTCCAATATGAGATGCTCAAATCCGATGGTCAATCTCACAATTGATTATGTTCGGAAATACATTCGATTCGAGCTAATTCGATTGGGAATTCAAATGGATTCGGCCAAGTTATAAACTTAACTCTGATGGCAAGCATCCATCTGCTGCAAGTGTCCTTTCTGAACAGAGTTCACGCTCCCATGCACCCAGGCTCTGTCTCAGTCTCTGCTCAGTTCTCGTTGGAACAGCAGTAGAAAATAGTAAACAGCAGCGAAAGGAGCCTGGCCAAGTTGCAACAATTAGCCGACTGATTTATCTATCTGGAGCACACAGCCCGACATCGAATGCCTCGATCGCATGGCAGAAGCAGTACGGAGCACGGACGGAGTACGAAGTTTCAATTTGATTTGATTTGATGTGAGCGCCTACGAACGAATGTGGCCGGCCGTGTTTCTTTTCGTGTTGCAAGCAGCGTAAGAGTCGGCGGCGGCGGCGGGCATTTGCTGCTGTCGCAAACGCATAATCGTAAAATTTGCAGTGGAATGTTGCAATATTTTTCGCGAGCAATTTGCGCGTGAATTATTCCAAACGTTGCATTACAAATGATTTCAGCCGCAACCACAACGGCAGCGACTGCGACTGCGACCACGTCTTTACGTCTTTAATTGGCTTTGAACGAGGAAGTCATCGGCCAGCACTGATTACGCTCCTCCGATCCCCGTCCAATCCCCTCCGACTGCGTTCGACACGCTCCACGTTCCCCTCCATAGACGTACGTGATACGGACAAAAGTTCTGTTTTCGGCTGTAAACTCATATTGAACCTTTTCCATGAATGTCACACTTGAGCTGCGGCGGAACTGAAAATGGGGAGCCCTTGGGTGCGGTGCTAAGACCTCGTCTGGTCTGGTCTGGTCTGGTCCGTTGGGGGGCTACGGCTCTATTAAATAGTCGAGAGTCTAGGGAACCTTTTTGCAGGCTTCCATTTCATTTTCATGGCCAATGGCATTTGGCCGTTGAATTTGCTTAAGCTGCCATTGTTGCCTCTGGGCTGCTGGCCATTGTTGTCCGGCGACAGCCCAGCCTCTGAAGTCTTCATGGCCGTCGTGGTCGTTGTCGCTGCCGTCTGCCGTCTGCCGTCTGCGTCGTTGCAGCCATGTAGGTAATTCCTGGAAGTTAATTTCATTAAGAGCAACTAGCAATGCGCGTATTTATTAGCCACACGATATATTGTATGGGCCAGGCTTTGTTTTTCAAGGAATCTGCCGCTTGCCGCAACTGGCTGTTCCATGCATTTGTGGAATTCATCATCGGGGCGACAGGCGGCTGCAGCAGCCACCACAACTGCAACTGCAACTCTTCTCTGGCATTTCCCCTGAGCTGCTGCTGCTGCTGCTGCTGCTGCTGTTGCAATTTTCATAACTTATTGCTGGCATGCATGGAACAGAGAGACCTGGATCCGGTCCCGCTCACCGCCTCTAAATATGGCACGAAATTTCCTTAAGAAAATGAAGAAGTACGCGCAAGTGCGATTTCCAGTTAATAGTATTCAACGGCCAACACTAACACCAACACCAACCCCAACCCCAACAGCAACACCAACAGCAACACCAACACCAGCCCAGCCCCAAGACGGTCGGATGTGTCCTGTACCCCTCCTGCCCGGTTTTGGGTTAGATTTAAAAATAACGCACATTCACAGCCAACTTGTAAAATTCTTATTAATTCTTATCGTACAACAAAGATTTCTACTTGCAGCCGGACACCAAAAGCAGCAACAGTAACAGGGGCAGTGGCTGTCTAAAGGGGCCGCATGGGCAGGGAACTTGTCATTGCGCCTTCATTTGGTCACAGTCATGCCGACAAGTGTTGTACACGCATTCCAAATACTTTTCCATCATTAGTCGACCGTCTCATCGTGGTCGCTGGTGTCCGCTGTCCGCTGTCCGCTCTGCTCCGATCTGATCTGATCTGCACTGGGCAAACACCTGCCAAGTGGAGTGCATCGAATGCCATTCGGAAAAACTCAAGTCGAAGCAATTCTTCTTTAAGTGGGCTTTATTGGAACACGGATAAAATACAGCTAATGCTAGACAATCTCGAAGCAACATGCAATTGAAACATAGTACAACGCCCGCGGATGTTGACGGTTCACAAACAATTCAAACGTCAAAACAAACTTACATTTTCAGACTAAGACTCAGAAATGGCACTGGCCCGGCTCTTCTCTAGTTAAAGACGAAGTAGACGCCAATCAACAATATGACTACTAACAATATAAACATCTTAGACTTAAGATTGTAGGCTTCGTTCAAGCTAGTGAGCCAGCGACGAAAGGCCACCGATACACTGACCTCTTCCGGGCGCAGGGAGCGGCGGGCCTGGAACTCATAGCCCGTAGTATCGGGGCTGGCAATGGTGCGCCTGCTGTAGGGACTATTGCGGTTGGACCGCTGACGGGCCAAGTTGCGGGCAAAGGTGCTCTCGTACTGGCCATCGTCCGCCTCGTTTTCGTCACTTAGCTCGTTGGCAAATGGTTGGCGTGGTGGGGAACGACGGTGGCCCGAGTTGTAGGCAAGAACTGTGGCTGGGGCCAGCGCCAGGGCCGGGGCCGCTGCAGTGACATAGCTCTGGGCGGGCGAGCGCACGTAGCTGCTGTAGCGCCCGGTGGGGTTGCTGAGGTAGTCGTAAGAGGAGCTGCTCGTCTGTGTACGAGAAGCTGTGCTGGAAGGAGCCATGTTGAAAGCTGTAGCAGCTGAGGATTCGTATGCCTGGCTGCGTGGGGGGTCCACGGCCTTGCTACTGTAGACCTGTGGAGCCATTCGGGCAGCTGACTTGCCAGTATGCTCGTATGTATTAGTTGTGGTGGTCGTCAGCTTCGATCTGGGTTTTGGTTGCTCCTTGGCCTTGTACTGCAGCTCGACAAGGTCAGCAGCCCGTGCCAACTGCTCGTCCTCCTCTTCGTCGGACTCCAGGATGATCATCGAGTTGACCTCCAAAGTGTTCTCATGGTAGTTGGTGCGCTTGGGCACAGCAACCTCCTCGACTATACGCTCTGGCTTCTTGACTGGGCGCTCCAGTACTACCTCCCGCCTTTCTGAGGAACTGGAGATACGACGCTGTGTCTGTGTGGGAGCCGCACCAGCCGGTTTCTTAGCAACCAGCTCCTCAGGTCGACGGCGCTCAGCCGCTTTGTTGTCGTTCATTGTGGACGCAATTGTGCGTCGTCCCTTGGTAGCTGCAGATCCCGGCTTCACACCATCGGGCTTGTCCACTGGAGTGGAGGCAGCAGCTGGAGCTGCGGCCGAAGGCGCAGCTGGCACCAGGGTCTCACGCTTATTGCTTTTCTTGGGGCTAGCAGTGACGGCCGGCGACGTCTGGCCGCCAAGGGAGGCGCGCAGACGCTTGACCAAAACCTTACGGCTGCTGTTTGTAACTGGAATATTCGGCAGTCCCTGGGAAATCATCTTTGCCCGCAAGTCGGCATCGGACATGGTGTCAAAATCGTCCAAGTCGGCCATTGTTCCTAGATTTGTATACAAATTTTGCAATTAGTTGAAATTGAAATCGGCGTCACTTTTACGCGGCGTGTGCTAAAATAGTGATGAACCAGGCGCACTATCGATAGCCCAAAACGCTTTGTTTTACAACACTTCTCGTGAAAATATTCTCGATAGTCACGCACAATTGAATATAGTTTTCCAGACACTCGTATCCCAACTGGCACTAAATCCAAATATAGATTTCACTCAACACTGAACAGTAACCATATACCACTAACCAAATAGTATAGCACTATACTTTGGTTAGTGCATATACTCTCAGTACACACTCATCACTGCGATAGCCAAACTATCGATACGAGTACCTAGCCAATTCGATACCATCCCATCGATGGTTTTTGCAGCCCTGCTTTTGCAAAACAGAAAAATATTTTACAATCTTAATAATTCCAAACTACGTGCGTTTAAAGACAACAACGATATTTCCTCGCACAACCGGTAGAGCACCATTAAGCCTTTTCAAGCAACGCCCACAGAAATGGACTTCTCAAAGGCACCCAATGCACGGAAACTGCAACTTTGCCGTACATACTTCTATGGTAGGCGCAGCCTTGACTCACAAATCTCTGAAAAGTAAAACGGTATGCATCCTGTACTTCCAGCTGGATTTGCTCTTCTACCCTTCGTGTGGGCCATTAATGTATGCTGGTGCTTTGAGGAGGCCTTTCGAAAGCCCCCATTCCCGGAACAAAGCCAATTAAAACGATGTTAGTACAAGTGAATTTATCTAAACTCTAAACGATATTCCTTATAATGTCCCAATCCGATCTACTCAGTTGTCATATACTCCGCCGTGGGCACCCTTTTGTGGCTCGTGGCGATCATTGCATGGATCATCACATTCCAGACGAATCGCACCTCCTGGGGAGCAACCGCAGACTACATGAGCTTCATGATCCCGCTTGGCAGTGCATGAGAAAATAGCCTAGACCTTTAGGCATAAGTAACTTATGATATTAGTATAAAAGACTTAACCCAAACGTCGTTCATTACTGGGAAACTGGCACAGATAACTAGGTATTGTTACGCCATGGTTAAATTACATATTTTTTATTCACATCTAAAGCTGTTTTTATAATTTCTGTATACTTTAAATATGTGTACTATATTTTCTTGAAATTTCTTAGCCACTAGTTATGTATTTCATTCAAATCTGTTTTTGTTATATTTGTATGAATGATTTGCCAATGATTAGTTAGCTGTCAATTGATCGCATCGCATCGCATCCCATTCCATGCCATCCTGCGATGGAGGTGATTGGCCGTCATTCGCTTAGATACAATTTCATTGTAGCGAATTCAATTCAGTGCGTAATCTTTGTTTTCTTCGTTTCTCTCTTTGTCTAAAATACATTTACTTGTAAAAAACTACTTGTACCATTCGATAAGCAGTGATGGTAATGTTTGTTAATGCACATTAAATTACGTTGCGTATGTGTATCCGTGAATGCATTCTTCCCAAGGATTGGGTTACAAATTGTAATGTGAATGTCAAACACCTAGAGACTTGAAAGTAGATTCGAATTTTTTGTAAGGACAACAATTGCACAAACTGATCTACACATGACGACATTGATCAAATTTGAATACACAATAAATGGCTCTCGCGTATAGTTTCTTTTTGGATACTTTACTGCTGTAGCAGCGTCTTCAAGTACACATACATATATGTATAACATCACATATGTACATGTACATGGATGATGCTTTAATGTTTATAACATGAACATGCGGTGACAATGCACCAATGCAGCAATGCATTATCTTCTCTCTCCACTAGCCATCAAAACAATTAGTGTAACTAATTTACAATACAAAAGACTCGCAGTAAGGTATATTTACAATCAATACTTGTTTTTATTTGTAAATTCTAAAGACGAATTGTTGGGAAAAGGATTCGTGTGTGTGTGTGTGTGGAGGGGGGCGGGGGGGTAGGGGCTAGGTTAGTTTATGTTTCTTTTGTCTGGGAGCTTAGGCTAAAGAACATTAAGTGCCATAAATCACGCGTGTAGAGACTATTAAGCGCGGCTGATGAACTACTACACGCCGACATTCGCATAGATAAATATGTGCATATGCAATTACACATATGTACATATGTATGCAGTCACTATTATCGCTATCTTCATCATCGTCATCATAGCATATATGCACATGCGTATATATATGTACATCTGTATGTATATTTAAAGTACAAATTGATGCTTAGAAACAATTTAAATCAGTGTGACGTGACTGCTGCTGTGGCTGCTGGCCCAAAAATGTCAAATCATGTTCCATTCATAGAGAACTTATATATCAAGAATCTACGGACACGAACAGTACACACATACAATAGATATAGATACACACATAGTAGATACATACATATATATTTAGTTGTATAAAGAATGAATGGGCGGCGCGCCCAATTTGTCTTTTAGATGCAAATCTCGCGCAGCTCCATCCGCAACACAGATAAGGATAATTAATACAAACTCTAAATGCTAAACTTGTACGGTCTAATTGCATAATTTAATCGTTAAACAATATTAATTCGTTTATATTTCTTATCTCTGGTTAGTTTTCGTTTAATGGTTATTTTTACAAAGAAATCAACACACTACAGTTTTGGGGTTTGTTTGTTTGCTTGTTTTTTGCAACATTTTCTTCTTGTGTTCGTCTGTCTGTTTGTTTGTTCATGTTCGATTACGCCTCTCTCGTTTGATATTCATTAATATATATATATACATATATATATATATGTATGTGTATATAAATATAGATATCTATATGTATATGCAAATACACTTAGGAAAAAACCGCTATAGTAGTTATGCTATATATATTTATATATGTATATGTATAGTTGTGTATGTGCTAATAGTAGTGATACCTTAGGATAGCTATAGTTAACCACGTTGAACGAAACATACAAAAAATACTTATGCATATAAATAGTCGATTCCTCATTTACTCGATTGTATGCATCTGCATCCGAAGGACTGTGGGAAGCATAGAAGACCTGAACAGGATTCGACGGGAAGAAGTTGGCGAGCCCAATGAGAGTGTCTGTTGGTGTTCGTGTCTATCCATTGGGATCTTCGGACAATCAATTTAATGACCACACTAGTTGTTCTTAACGTTATACACCTTCTTCTCGTTGCTCCCGTTCATTGGTTCTCATTTCGACGGTCCCGGCGGAAACGGGTTTATCACAGCTACAGCAGCAGCCTGCTGGCTAGCCAAGACAGCCGCTATACACGAAAAAGACAGGGTATTAGATAAGCTAAAGATAAAGATTTTGCACACAACTCACCTCCATAGGGCGCCGGATACATGGGATAACCGAGGCCTACGTGTGTGTGGTGATGAGTGTGGACGTGTCTTTGCGGAGGCGGACTGCGGGAGTCAGCGGCACCTGCGCCACCACCACCCGCAGGACCATTCACAGCGGCCCCTCCGACGCCTCCCACACCAACGTTGCCGGGTGGTCCGCTGGGTGGTGGGCCACCAGGCATCGTCTGTTTGTGCGCGTCCAGCGCCGACCCAGGCGGCACTCCGTGCGACTTCTGGCCGGCCAGGTCCGGCTTATTACCGGGCGTCGAGCCCAATCCTCCTGATGGTGGCTGTAGATTCAGCGGCACACCGCCCGCAGACCCAGGACCCGAGCCGGGCTGGCCTGACCCGTTGCCACCGAGGACATTGGGACCGGAGCCCGGACCGCTGTTTGATGGACCCCCCGACTGGGGTGGTCCGATGCTGGGACTGCTGACGCTCACCTTGACGGGGCCGCTGCCGCTGGTGGGCGACTTCAGGGCACGTTCGCTGAGCTCATGGATCTTGTGCGTGGTGTAGTACTGGCTGGCTGCATGATGTAGTGCATCCAGTGCCTTGGTACCCGTATTGCGGGAGAGATCTTCGGGCGCATGGTAGCGGGGAATTGGAAGATGGTACGGTGTCGTGTTGTATGGCCCGGCTGCGGACATCAGTACGTTCCGGTACATGGGATGGTTGGGATCGAAGCCGAACGGATTAGGCGATATATACGATGGGTGGAGGAAGTACTGCGACGTAGGCGGTGGCGGCGGTCCCTGTGTTTCCATTGTCGGCTTTTGACCCTCCTGCTTCACCTTCAGCTGCTGCTCATCCTCACCGGAGTTGTTCTTTTGCTTGGGGGACTCCTTTGTAAGATTCGTGGCCTTGTTGTTTGCTGCCGAGGACGCCTGAGCCTGCGATTGTTTTAGCTTCTGTTGTTGTTGTTGCTGCTGTTGCTGCTGCTGCTGCTGCTGTTGTTGTTGCTGTTGCTGCTGATGTTGTTGTTGTTGGTGCTGCTGCTGCGCCTGTTGTTGTTGCTGTTGTTGTTGTTGCTGCTGCTGCTGCTGCTGTTGTTGTTGTTGTTGCTGTTGTTGTTGCTGCTGGTGCTGCGCCTGTTGTTGCTGTTGATGATGATGTTGCTGCTGGAGATGCTGGTGATGCTGCTGAAGCGCTTGCTGCTGATGCTGGGCAAGAGTCATGTGCTGCTGTTGCTGCTGCTGCTGCAGACTGAGATTGGAGTCATCCTTGTGCAGCATGCCGGGATGAGGAGGAAGTCCACCAGGACCTCCGCCACTGGCAGCGTTCTGAGCGGCTGCGGCAGCAGCAGCAGCGGCGGCGGCTGCCTGGTTTTGTCGACCAGTAAACATGTAATACCTGAGGAGTAAGCAGAAAAAAATCAGTATGGATGGCACGGGAATGCTACTCGTAATGAATTCCTATTACCGTCGCAGCTCTTCGTCGCGCGCCTGTTGCACCGCCGCCAAGTTCATCGAGTGACGCTGGTAGATGGCTGGATACGCGCCCAGGGCCTGCAGATCCTTGGGATGCAATGCGTGAGGCTGCTGGGGCTGCGTGGGTGGAGGCTGCTGCTGAGGTTGCTGCGCCTGGGTCTGAGATGGCGGCGGGTGCTGCTGGCCAGGATTTGAGCTCGGCTCCTGCTTGATCTCCTGCTTCGTCATCGGCTCTTGCTTGATCAGCTTGTTCGCCAGCAGCTGAAGGAACGAGATCGAAATTAATTAGTATACAAGCAATCGAAAGCTTTGCGCATAACGCACCTGCTGCTGGGGCGCCATGTGCTTGGGGTTCTCGTGTGGACTGGGACTCTCCTTGAGCCGCTCCTCCTTGATGCTGATCCCAGACAGCTGCTGAGCTTGCGACCCGGGCAGACCGGGATGCCCGCCCAGCTTCGCCGTCTCCTCGGAGGAGCCCACAATGGAAAAGGTCCCAAAATTTGGGTCTACATTGTACGGATACGCAGGCGGAATAAAGCTGAAAGAGAAATGGAAATGGTACAGATCGAAGATACTGAAAGGACGGCCGGCTTGACTCACTTGAAGGGATACAAGTGGTGCATGCCTTTTCCGGGCGTTGGACCGCCCAGGCCGGCGGCACCAAGAGCTGAGAGACTGCCTAGGCCAGGCGGCAGGGCTCCTGGCGGCGGGCCAGCCACGGCACTGAGATTCACAGGTGGCGGTTGGATGCCCGCTTGAGATGTGGGTGGGGCACCTCCATCTTTCCCGACGTTTTCCCCCTGGCCGTGGGGCGGCCCCTGCTGCAGTGGCTGATGGTTTGCCTGCTGCCCGGGCTGTGGCTTGGTCATCAGATCCAGAGGCGGATCCTTGTTCTTGTTGCTGTAATCGGCCAGGTGGGCACTAACCGCCTGCTGGGAGGGTGGCACGAGCAGATGCGACTGCGGCTGTGAGGTGGGCGGAGGAGCACCCGGCTGCAGTTGCTGCTGCTGGACCTGCGCCTGTGCCTGTGCCTGTGCCTGGGCGAGCGTCGGTGGCATTCCGGTTGGCTTTCCGGGCTGCATGCCATCGGGCCCCGTCTGCACCATGTACTGCTGCGGCTGTTGTTGTGGAGGCGGCGGCGCCTGCTGCTGAGCTGGGTAGAACTGGTACATCCCATAGCCGCCCAGGGCAGGCATGCTGGGTGTGGGAGCTGCCGGCACCACGCCCACCTCTGGGGCCTTCTTGCCGAGCAGCTCGATGTGCTTGCCCGCCTGCCCAACCGACTTGTCCAGCAGCTCCTGCTCGGCCACTGGCGTAGAGTCGTCCGATATATCACTGTAGGCCGGACTCTGCACATCCTCACGGGACACCCGGCCATCGAAGTCGCCTGGCCCGGGCGACTTTCGGTTCTTCTTCTGCTTGCTGTTGGAGCCCACACCCACAGACCCAAATCCTGGAGAGGTCTTCAGTCCAGCCTGCTGTACGTAGCTAGCTGGTGTCTGCTGCACGTCCTGTGTGTGGCTGGGTGGTCTCGGAGGCGACTGCTGCTGCGTCTGTGGATTAACCTGAACTTGAACCTGGCCTGTCTGCTGCTGCTGCTGTTGCTGCTGCTGCTGTAGC